TTTTTTTTTTTTTTTTGAGACACAGTCTCACTCTGTTGCCCACCCTAGAGTGCTGTGGCGTCAGCCTAGCTCACAGCAACCTTAAACTCCTGGGCTCAAGCAATCCTCCTGCCTCAGCCTCCTGAGTAGCTGGGACTACAAGCACGCACCACCACGCCCAACTAATTTTTTCTATATTTAGTAGAGACGGGGTCTCGCTCTTGATCAGGCTGGTCTCCAACTCCTGAGCTCAAGTAATCCTCCTGGCTTGGCCTCCCAGAATGCTAGGATTACAAGTGTAAGCCACCTGCTCCAGGCCCTTCTAGTAATATTAACTCTCTTGCCCTGCTTCTAGCTGGCTCCACCTCAAGGGACTCCTTCTTAGCTCTCCCCCGCCCCCCCACCCCAGCCTCTAAACTACTCATTGAAGGCCCGAGGGAAAAGAGTTGGCAGGTAGGTGTAGTCTTGCTCTGTGGCTGGGGCTCCTCAGGATTCCAAATTGTCACTCCAGCCCACATGCAATAAAATTTTCACTGACTTGTCTTCAACTGTCTATGACAGATTCTTCCTCCTGCTGTTCCACCACAGATGAAAGTATCTGTGTCTCTTTTTTTTCTGGGATGGGCTCATTACTTTCTGGATTTTAGTTTGTTTAGATTTTTTTGTGTCCTCACCTCTCTGGTAGATTTTTAAAGAACTATGATTTTGTAGCTTCTCTAGCTTTTCTATTAGGGTGACAGCACTAATGTCTAATTGCTGCAACTTTTAACATCCTAACAGAAAGCAGAAGTCTTTATTATCCTTTCTGATAGGAGAAAAACAGACTTGGAAAAGATAAATGACACAACCAAGGTTCAGAACTAAAAAACAGAAAAACTAAAATTTAAACTTAGATTGCATGACTCCAAATCTAGGGTTCCTTATGCTCCACAACAGGTAATAAAAATTGTTTGACTCTGGGCAAGTCATTTAACCTTTCAGTATTTCTAGTTTGTAAAAGGGGTTGTGCTAGATAAACTCAAAAGTCTCTTTCAATTCTAACACTCCAAGATTCAATGAAGTCTTTGTTTTTAAAATGTATACCATTACAGTGTTTCTGAAGGCATAATCGTGTGGTAAATGTCACTTTAGATGTCTAATAAGGTTCTCAAATTTATCAAGTCTAAAACCAGTTCCTAACTTGCTCCTCCCATAGTCTCCATCTCAATAAATGGCAATTCCTTCTTCCTCTTGCTCAGGATCAAATCATAAAAATCATCCTTTACTTTCTTTTTATATTCCATAACCATTCCATCGGCTAACCCTATGGATTAGTGCAACAGTAATGCCCTATGCGCCCTGCTTTTGTCTTTTCTCCCCTCACCCTTACCCCAGAATGATTCCACCTATAAAATATGTCATATATGCCACTCCTCTACTTAAACTCAATCACTTCCCTTTCCTTCAAAGGAAAACTCAAAGTTCTTTACATGGCTTACAAGTTTTACATGAGCTGGCCTCCTTAACTACTTTGGTCTTACTACACTCCAGCCACAATGGTCTCCTTGCTGTTCCTCCAACACACCGGGCATGTTCTTGCCTCAGGACATTTAACTTGTGCCCTCTTCTGACATGGTCTTTCTCCAGGCATTCCCATGGCACCTCCTCTGCTCAAATGTCACATCAGAGAGGCCTTCCCCTCCACTCTACATTAAAAGCAACTCCTCTCTCTCCCCTTATCCACTCTCCTACCCAGCTTTATTTTTCTCCAAAGCACTTTTCACTACCTTATCTGTTCATAATCTGTCTTCCTGCCACTAGAATGTAAGCCCCATGAGTGCAGAGCCTGCCCCATTTCATGCATTGCTGGACACCCACTACCCAGAAGAGTGACTGGCACACAGTAGCACACAATAAATATTTGTTGAATAGAAAAGCAAAGAACAGAAAAATCAAAAGAGAATTGTAGGAGCAGCACTGAGAACTAAGAAACCTGTGTTTGAACCTTGACTTTGACTCCACAAAAACTTCCCAACACTGTCCCCTGTTCTGCTTCCCTAGACCTCACTGTTGCATCCCCATCTCTCTCATTGCCACCGCAGTGCTTGGTGAAGCAGCAGCTGATGTAGACACTACAAGGGTAGCGTAAGACTCAAAGTGAGGTAGGGAGAGTGGCAGTAAAAGTGTAGCCCAATCTATGGTTGGCTGTCCATATCTGGGCTTTGGTTGTCTGCACTGAAAGAAAAAGAGTAAATCCTGCAGGATGGCATTAGACAACATTATTTTATTGTCATAAAATTTAAAAAGAGCCTGCTGGCTCAGCTGATAAGACACTGAGGCTCTTAATCACGTTATAGTACATTTGTGCCAGGCAGTGGGCACCATCTTTAGTTTGGAAATAAGCCATGATGCAATCAATGGTTAAGATTCCAGATTTTGGGAACAGACTAGTTGAGTTCAAATCATGGCTCTGCCACTCACTATGTAACCACTCACTATGTAACTATGTGACTGCAAATTGCCTACTCAATCTAGGCCTATTAAATGGGCATAATTCAATCTCATAGGGTGTTGGAAGGACTAAGTGAGATAAAACGTGATCAGTCCACAACTAGGCACTGAGAAAGGACTCTAGGAAAGAGGTCTATTGTTATAATTACTAAAAATTACTCTCCACCCCACATCAGTGCAGACATAAGGGAGATCAATATTGTCAAGAGTAGGAGAATTAATAGAGTAACCTCTATTCTTCATGATCTATTAACATAGATATCATATAAGTTCTATTAATTATACCGTGTGATGAAAAGAGACCAAAATCGTCCATAAACCTTGAATTAAGAAATTCACTTGAATCTGAAAAACAACAAATATTTTATTGTGAAGTTTCCCTCCATCTTGTGCTTCCCAATACCTCTGACAATTCCTAACCACAGACAAATACAGAAAAGGGAATACCAAAATAGAAGGAAAGTCCAGATGAATGAGTTAAAATGGAAAAATTATATAATAGAGTGTTATTATATATTTCCAAAAAATAAATCTGCTTTACAAGCTAAAGTCTTACATAACAAAAACTTGATGACAACAAGCAATAGATATTCCAACATGATGCCCTTTTATAACAATTGTAGAATATAAAACTAAAACAAATCTAAAAATTATCAGGAAAAATCTCAGAAAATAAAAGTTTTAAAAACAGTTTCATCTCCCACATCTAAAAGGCTTTATGTAAAACACTTGTATTTTTGATTCACAAAAAGCAGATGCCAATTCTTGAACATGAACTGAAGTGATGGGAGAAACTCTCAATGCTATTATAGCCATGAGTAAGAAGCCTGATCTAATTCATCTGTCTTCATTAATTCCTTTTCATTTTAACTTTGTGAAAGAGGGAAAGAAAAAAGAAGGGGCGAGAAGGCTAGGCGTGCCTACTCCATTCTGTAGCATTTAACTCAGTAGCAGGAACAAAATACAAGTCATTCATAAGTGCTCAAAAATCTTAAAGTCCAAATAAGAAAGAAAACTAATTTCCTAACATATATATATGGGAGAACATATAATGACACACTATATATTACATTTCAATCCATAAACAGGTTCTGAGACAAACTACCTGGTTTTGAAATCTGGCTCAATTTATCAGCTGGGTGACCTGGGCAAGTTACTTTACTTCTCTGTGCTTCAGTTTCCTCATCTCTAAAATAAGGAAATGGTATCTTCCTCATAGGGTTGTTGTGACAGTTTAAGACGCTTAGAAAAATGCCTCAGACATAGAATGTACACAATAAATGTTAGCTGTCATTATTAGAGAAGGAGTAGAAACAAATGGCTTACTTGAAGAAATTTTCATTGAGAAATAGTTAAGCAGAGTTCCAAAATTAACATGCAAAGTCATTTATATCAACTGCTAAAGTTGTATGTTTAGATTCATGCATCGAAGGAAGTGTAATGTGATCTCAAATACAGTTTTGGGGATTACATAGGCAGCCTCTTCATCCCACTCCTTCCTATACCAACCATCCCCCACTTCCATGGAAGGCTAGGCATCTTATCAATAAAACCTCTTTTATGAGTTAAATTCTTAATGCTTAAAGATATACAAAAAGCAAAGCATTTCTAAGTTCAGCAAGGCAAGCACTAGTACAAAAGGACAGCAAATGCTTTTATTTTAGAGTAAGCAAAACTCTAAAATTCACAATAGTGAATCAGGATGGGCTGTGGGTCAGGATGGAAGGGGTGGAAGAAGAAAAGGAAAATGGACAACAGGAGGAATATGAGACTTCAGAGAAGTGTGAAAACTTAATTCCTGGACATTCTCTCTTTCTCCTTGCTATAATTGTAAGGGCTTTTCTCACCTGTAACATACAAATTATTGAAATACTTAAAACACTTAGATTTTTGTAAAATTCACTTTCTGAAACTTACCAACTCTATTACTTTGTCACTTAAAAAACAATCCAGAATTTAAGAAGAAACATGTACAAGATAAAGACATTATATAGTACTGTGATTTGTGGGTGATGTTCTTTTCCCGCTACAGGCCGAACACTTGGGAGCTGCTTTTCCAGAGTCAATACAGAGCATCCACTTTCTTTTATCACCACCGGCTCCTTGATTATTAAGAAAAAAACAGAGCCAGCCAGGGTTCCGAATGGTAGATTTTTCCTCCGGCAGACCAAATGGCACTTGGGGAGTACCCTGCATTCTCAGCTCATCAGCACTTTCACTAACCCCTGAAGATAAGGAGAATATCTCCACTTAATTATTAATAGTTTAAAAAAAAAAACCCTGTTTCTTAAAACTAGGCATTTCCCTATTATTCATGCCCATCCCCACACCCCCTCAAATATTCTAAGCAAGGGTGTGGCCCCAAGCAGGGAGCCCAGCTCCTCTCTTCTTTTACAACCCTTGGAGGCCTCTGGGGAAATCACACCTTCGGTTTGGCAATTCCTTGAACCTTGTCTACTCAAGCCCGCACCTCAGCCAAGTCTTCAAGTCGGCTTTTTAACGCGAGCTTAATGGGGGCCAGGTGGTATGCCTTCACCCTCTCAAGTTTATTAAACAAAGGTAATGGTGTCCTAAGACGTTTCCGATGGACTAATTATGGATTAATTAAATCCCTTAGAGAGGGTACTGCACACAGAAAAAACCTAGCTTAATGCTCCCCGTTTTTAAAAAAGGGGGTCTCAAAAATTACGAATTTAAATTTCCACGTGTTAAGAAAACCTAACAGAACGATGATTTTGAAAGAAACACAAATTATGTGTATTATTTATATATAACTGCATAGAAACAAGACTGGAAGCACACAGACCTGCGATATAGTGTAAATATAAATATGTGGTATTCATATGCATTCTTTTTTTAACCACACCCTCCTTGGGTGGATTCCCAGGCTCTCTTGGGCCAAATAGCGTCACGCCGTCCGGCGGCCCCTGGGTGGGGGTCCGGACTGTGACCCAGCCTCCACCAGTAGAGAACGCTGCGTCGCGGTCGCCCCCGTGCAGGCGGGCGCTCCGGACCCACCGGGGTTCCCCCTCCCCCGGGCGCGCCCAGCCCTGCCTTGCCCAGCAGCCCCACAGGCCGCTGCCCGGCCTCTCCGCGACCCCGGGGCCGCCTGCCCGACCCTAGCGGGCGGCCGCGCGGGGACCCGTCCCGGGAGGGAAAGGGCGGGGCGGCCGGGCTGACGCGGGCCCCAGACTCACCATGGCCGAAGAGCCGCGAGCGAGTCCACAGCCCGAAGTCACACGGCGCCGGCGACGCCCGTTGTCCTGGTGACGCCAGCCGGGCGCCCCGCCCCATCCCCAAGGTGGGCTCGGAGGAGGCCATTGGTGGCCAGAGAGCACGTGACCGACAGGGGCGGTGCCCTTTGGACCGCCCACCCTTGCCCCCAGCTCCTGGACCCGGCCCCTTATCCTTGCGTACTTGCATCTGGTCCATCCTCTCACCCTGATCACCTTGATGCCCCTCACCTGATACTTCCCAGCCACACACTGCCCAGCCAAAAGAGACCTTCATGGATTTTATTTATTTAAAAAACAGAGTACACAGGTAATAGCTGATTATTGAAGACATTTTAAATTACCTATAACAAAAATTAAAAAGAATAAAACCATTCCAGCACCTGAAGTAGCCACTGCTCATATTCCAGTCTATCTGCTTCAAGTTTACAACAAAATATATATTATAATGTATTCTTAAAAGTGGAGGCAAACAATACACACTATTTTATAATCTACTTTTTTCAATTAAAAATTATTATCTTTGCATACCAATTCATGAAATAGCATTGTATGCATACCCTATAATTTATTAAATCAACCAATAATTTGTTGGATGTTTTTAGTATGATTGAAGGGAACTCTAGATATCTTCAATTCTAGCCCCTTAACTCTGTGGAGAAAGAGCATATTCGACAGCTGACTTGACATCTCCCCTTGAATGTCTAATAGGCAACACAATTTAATATGGGCCAAATAAGCCTCTTGATTCAAGTACTCACTCTCCAGTCTTCCCCATCTTGCTAATGTTCCTACTATCCCTTTGGTAGTTAGAACAAAAACCATCCTTGATTCCTCCTTTTTCTTCGTACCTCACTTCCAATCTGTTAACAAATGTACTTGACTCTACCTTAAAATAAATGCTGAATCTGGCCAGGCCAGGTGATGGCTCACACCTGTAATCCCAGCACTTTGGAAGACCGAGGTGGGAATCACTTGAGGCCAGGTGTTGAAGACCGGCCTGAGGTAGTGAGACCCCTGTCTCTACAAAAAAATTAAAAATTAGCCACCAGTTGCTCAGGAGGCTAAGGCAAGAGGATCATGAGCTGTGATGACACCACTGCACTCTAGCCCAGGCAGCAAGACCCAATCTCCAAAACAAAACAGAAGTCCGAAATTTATCAATTTTTCACCATTTCCACCTCATAACCACCATTATCTTGCCTAAATTCGTCTCCATGTGCTATTGTTTGAATGTCTGTGTCCCCTCCAAAACTCATGTTGAAACTTAATCACCAATGTAATAATATTAAAAGGTGGAGCCTTTAGGAGATAATTAGGCAATAAGAACGCCACCCTCATGGATGGAATTTGTGTCCTAATAAAAAGCCTTGAGAAAGTGAGTTCAGTCTCTTTTGCCCTTCTGTCCCTTCTGCCAAGTGAAAATACATCATTCGTCCCCTCCAGAGGATGCAGCAACAAGGCACCATCTTGGAAGCAGAGAGCAGTCCTCACCAGATAACAAACCTGCCAACACCCCGATCTTGAACTTCCCAGCCTCCAGATTTCTATTGTTTATAAATTACTCAGTCTGTAGTATTTTGTTATAGTAGCACAAATGGACTAAGAAACCATGTCTTCCCTTCTACAGTCTACAATAGCATTTCAGTGGCTTCTCATGGCACTGAGGAAAAAAATACAAACTTCCCATGGTCTACAAAATCCTACATGATCAGGGCCTTGCCCACTATACTAACCTCATCTCCTACCACTCTTCTCTCGTTCATACCACACCAGCTATACTTTATTTCCCGAGGTTCCTCAGACATGCCAAATATTAATACTTTCCTACTTCAGAGCTACATGAACGTCTTCCTTCATTTGGAATATTCTTCCTGCAGAGCTTCACACAGCCCATTTCTTCACTTGATGCAAGTTAGTTATCTCCTCAAATGGCATCTTTACAAAAGCCTTCACTGACTGTTCAATCTAAAATCTCACTCCAGTCACTCTCATTTCAGTCAAACTCTCTCCTCTAACTATCTTTTCAAAATTTTTAGGTCCCTTCAAAATTATCTTTTTTACCTTTTTGTTTGGAATGCAAGATGTCTATCTTGTTCCATCTATGTATTCCTAGTGTTTAGAATAGTTACTGGCTTATAGTAGATGTTCAATAAATATTGTTGATTGAGTGAGTGAATGACCATTTGGCTAAGATTATATGGTCAGTTTGAAGATACGAATAAGAGCATGACCTGACAGAGTAGGTGGCATAATGCAAGAATATATTCTGTAATTACTGAGACTTTATTTTTATCTTTTTTATTATGAAATATAAATAAAAGTAATAGAATCCTAGTATACAGTTTTTAAAAAGTGAAGTATCATCCAGTTCAAGAAACAGAACATTGCCAGCAACCCCTCTGTACTTAAGATTCTTAAGTGTTCTCCTCTAATTCTTAAGTGTACTTTCCTAATCTCACCCCCTCCCCATCCCCTGCAAATTCTCCACTACAGGTGACCACTGTCCTGCAATTTATGGAATTCACTTTCTTGTATTTCTTTTTTCTAAATTTTTTTTAGAGATGGCGTCTATGTTGCCCAGGATGGCCTCAAACTCCTGGGCTCAAGCAGTCCCCCTGCTTCAGCCTCCCAGGTATCTGGGATAACAGGCAGGTGCTGATGTGCCTGGAATTTTCTTGTATTTCTTTATAAATGTTTATACCCCGTTCATTTTCATTGCTATAAAACATACCACTGAATGTACATACAAAAATGTACAAACAGGAATATATTTATCCATTCAACTGTTGATGGGCATAAGGATCATTTAAGTCATTTCCTGTTTAGGACTATTATAAGCAATGCATCTGTGAACATTCTCCTAGTATACATGATGGATGCTCATTTGTCTAGATCAGGATTTCTCAATTATAGCACTCTTAGCATTTAGGGCCAGATAATTCTTTGTTGCCATGGGTTAAGGGGTCAGGCCAGTCCTGTGCATTGTAGCATGTTTTGCAACATCCACGGTCTCTACTCCCTAGATTCTAGTGGCACACTCTTAGTTTTGAAAACCAAAAATGTCCCCAGGCATTCCCAAATGTCCATGGAGAGGCAAAATTGCCCCAGCTGAGAACCACAGCTCCAGGGTGTGGCTCAAGGAGTAGATAGAATTGCTGGTTTGCGTATCTTCAGATTTACTACATAGTGCCAAATTGTTTCCCAAAGTAGTTAAAACAGAAGTGACATCACAGACTTAGCAGAATATGGTCCAAGAATTGGTCCTTCCATTGAAGCAACAATCAAGCTGGGGAAAACTGACAGAATCAACTTTTTTCAAAACTGTAGAATCTAATGAAACACTTAAGTCAACCAAGCAGTGCTTAATAAAGAAAGAGGCAGCTGTATGTTGATAAGAAAAAATTGTGGGGTTTTTTTGCTTACCCATCTAGCAGCTCCTATTCACCAGCTTGGCAGCAGGCTTGTGGATGGTGGCCTGCATTTCTGATACAGCTTTCTGGTGCCAGGCTAAGCAATATAAACTTGTTTTCAAAAATTTTTGGTTATGCATTTGACCAGTCTCCTCATTCTCTAAGGAACCAATACAGAGGCTGATCTTTATTCTTACTTTCTTGGGTTGTAGTGGCTTTCTGGAAAGAATCTGATGGAAAAATTTAAAGACATAACTACCCAATGCTGCCTGGGGCAAGGAATGGAGGATGTGGCAAGCAGCAGACAGATCCAAAAGCCTGGGATTGAGGAGCTAAAGAGGAAGATTCTTGGGGGAATAAGCACTTTGAAGGGCTACTGCGTGTACTGGGGATTCTGGAGTACAGTGTACATGCCCAGGGAAAGATGCATGCTCAGAAAAGGTCTGAGAGGACCCTAGACTTACACTTTTGGTTGATCTTTGGGCTCCACGTAAGCAGGAAGTGAAGACTAAGGCAGAGTGCAGTCAAGTCGGCTTAGAATTGAAGGAGTGTCCTAGCTCAGAGCCAATATGCAAAGACCAGAGGTGGGTTTTTTTAGGGTTTTTGGTCTTTCTAGGCATTTAAGGAAATCTTTTTCAGAATCATCAGTTGACTGCTGACAGAACAAAATAGATGCTTTAATGAGCACACATGACAAGGAATTCAGTCTTTGCAAAGATAATTTGGAAACTCATTGAACAAATGGATGGCTGCAGCCCTCAACAATCAACATCAAGCCCTGGGGCAGGGGAAATCTTTTCCCAGAGTTACCACATTAACATATTCAAAATGTCCAGTTTCCAATGAAATACTTATAAGGCATGCAAAGAAACAGGAAACTATGGCCCATTCACAGTGGGGAGAAAAAAAGAATTCACAGAAACCATCCCTATGAAAGCCCAAGGATTAAACTTACTAAACAAAGACTTAAATCAACAGTCTTAAATATGCTCAAATAGCTAAAGGAAATCATGGACAAAGAAATAAAGGAAACCAGGAGAACAATACATGAGTAGAGAATATCCAATAAAGAGGTAGAAATTATAAAAAGCAACCAAATAGAAACTCAAGATGTTCAGCAGGAGATTTGAACAAGCAGAAGAATCAGTGAACTAGAAGATACGACAACTGAAGTTATCCAGTCTATGGGCTAGAGAAAAAAGAATGAGAAAATGGACAGAGGTTAGGGCTCTCTGGGATACCATTAAACATATCAATATATGCATTGTGGAATCCCCAGAAGAAGAATCAAATTTTTAAAAAGGCAGAAAGAATATTTGAAGAAATTTTGGCCAAAAATTTCCAAATGTATGAAAGGCATGCATCTGTTCATCCAAGAAGCTCAGCAAACTCCAAGTAGGATAAATTGAAAGAGATCCCACCAAGACACATCATAACCAAAGTGTTGAAAGCCAAAGACAAGGAGAGAATCTTGAAAGCAGCAAGAGAGAAGCAATTTATCACATACAAGGGATCCTCAATGACATTGTCCCTGATTTCTTATCAGAAACCACTGAGGCCAGAAGATAGTGGGATGAATAAATTACAAAAAATGAGTTTGGGGATGTACTTTTTCT